GGGGGGGGGTATCTCACCTTTGCGTGCACCTTGGAAAAAGAATCTGACAATGAAGACTTGGAGGCATGACATCGTAACCATCATAAGGGACTCGATAACCGAGAAGTTGAAGATTCGGGATTCGGTTGAGCGCACGGTGCTGAAATTGCGGTTCTCCCGGGTGCGGAAGTACTTTTGATTACGGGAAATGGTAGAGAGTTGACCGGAGAGCTTGAAAAGTGACTCCTCGAGGGATGAAAGATGCTCGGGGGAGGTACCCTGCTTAGAGGGGAGCTCGGCCCGAGCTTCATTTTCGACCTGTATTATCTGTCAAGTGGAGCTCCGACGAATAGGGGAACAGTGCTCATACAGCAATCTCGAAATCTACCATCTTCTCGGCAAACGTAGACATATCGTTGGAAAAGCAGAAGCTATATTCCCCGGGTTCATTCGCGGTAAAGACAAAATCACCCTGCCTCTCTTTGGACCCATCAAGAATAATCTTATCGTTCGGACCCGTCACTTTATAATCGACATCGAAAGAACCACCCGATTGAACCTATTCCGAACGGTTAAGACCGAGCAAAGAGATTGGAGAGTCGTGGGAGAAAGTACTTACAGCAAAGTAAAAGGCCACCTTAGACCCCTTCTTGTCAGCGGTTGAGTAGAAGCATTGCCTCTCGTTAGGAGCGAGCTTGTAGGTAAGGGCTGTGGCAGCAACGGGTGAAGTAAATAAGGAAAGGGATGCCAAAATAGTGGCTCCGAGTATGGTGGGCAACCGCATGGTGAAGGACTGTCTGTCGACTGGTGAGTTTAGGGAAGGGGTGAGGTTCTCGCGCTGGAAAGGAGGAAATGCGAGATGCTGAGACCCGTATGAGCAGTGCGCTGTCTCGGGGTGGAATACTGAACGTGCCAAGTATGCCGCTTGTACCCCTGCCTATGATACCGGTGGTATCATTGTTCAACGGCTGTGGCTACACACGAGTCATCTGCATCGAATTACAAAACGGAAGCCTCATAACATCTATAGAGATGGTATAAGGCAAAGACTTAATTAAAACTAGTTTGTTTACGATATTTGAGTTTGGGGGGGGGGGATTTGATGGTCATATCGACAAGCATTCTGTTTGAATAGCACAATAAATGCAAACATATTGCAAAATGAAAAAGGTTCCATACGGTTTGGTGGCCGAGTGGTCTGAGGCGCTACGTTTGGGTTAATTGATCGAAAGAGCGCGCGTTCGAATCGCGCCCAAATCAATTCCTTTTTGCAACCTCATTATCCAGAGTACTCATATGGTATACCGGTAGTATCATATGACCCCTATGGTACTGTAGCATCACTTTCGACCATGGCCCTTGATTGGAGTTGGCGGACATTCTCTCTCCGGAGAAATACCACCCTAGTGGTTTGTCGCAGAGTTTTTGCTCCCTCCGGCTCCCAGACCATCAGCATGGATTCGCAGGAATTGGGGATTCGATATGGTAATTGACACATCTAGGCCGGCGCTTTATGTGCCTTCCCATCGTGTAGCACGCCGGAGCTCCCGCCACTTCTTGTTCTGCCTATCCCCTGGAGGAACATGGGTTTCCAATCGGGGACTAGTAGTCATACCTCTATCATACTACTATACCAGACACTAGCATAACATGGGCTAATCAAAAGACAGTTTTCTTCGAGTCAGAGTAAAGAACTGTGCCATCTATAGTCAATAGACAATTCTAGCCCAGCCCGCTTTCCCCTCACCCCCCCCCCCCACCGCCTGGGGAAGGCAGTTTATACAATAATGTCCGTGGAGACTTCGATGACAAGCAGCAGAAATATGGTCTACATCGCTAGGGAATTCAACCTCGCCCTCGACACTTTTTCACAAACACTCTTTTGGTCCCCGCCTCAGGTTCTCTAAACCCGCTGTGGTGGCTCCCGGTCAGCTCCAGCTTCCTCTTGAAAGCGGTGTATCAAAGCGGTGGATGATGGTTTAAAGGGCCGTGGGGGTTGCCAACATATCGGACTGGTGTTGGAGGTGGTTTTGGCATAAATGGGTTCTACACTTGTGTTTTCTACTTTACTTCCGGTTTAATTTATATTATGCGCACACGTTCTGGTCTCGTGGTATGGGTTGTGCGGTAGTTGATTATGTGCTTTTATTAATCTGTAGTTTGGAGATGTGTCTGATACTGCCCGGGATATAGCGTCTTGTGCGATTTATCGTCCTTTCCATATATGCATTTCCGGGAGTACGTTGCATCACCTATTATCACTCGGTGATTCGTGCTAATTGACGTCCTTTGGTAATCGGACGGAGGTTAAGGGACACCAGAATCGCGGGGGTTTAAAAAGGACAACGTCACCACAGGCATCCTGAGGATCAGCCCTGGGGGGGGGAAGGGTTCAAAAACTTTTATCATGTCCGAAGCAGAACACATTTATTTTTATTTCCGCCCTCTTGTCCGGAGTTCGCACAGAGTTGTGGGCACATGAGCCGGGAAAGGTCTGTTGCGACGTACAGTACTGTGTCTTTCCCATATCATACAAGAACCTCGGTCTTGACTGGTATGGTGCCCTGAGGGAAAAAGCACTCCCGCCCCACTACTCTATGAGAATGGAAGGAAAAAGTCACAGGCTTCTTTACCCGAGCGCTATCGTAGTATCTTATTATTATTATTATTATTATTTCCGCCCCGTTCCATTCACGGTGGTTGGGTAATGATGCCTTGGAAACCTTCGATTTTGGTACGTTCTGGTCTCTGTCTAGTTACCAATGACCTCCGTTGCTGTCTGATGGGGTTTTTTTGCATTTGTGTTTTTTTCCCTGGAGGCTGGCCCGGGTTTAGGGAGGGTTGGTGCCCAGGCCCTACGCTTTGCGAGTCGCCCGTCTACGAGTATTGTCATGGTTGATAGTTCGGTACATGCACGGTACTGCGGAGGTAGGTTCTTCTAGACTTCGGGGGACTTGAGGGTGGAAGCGATTAAGAGATATTCTCTTGGTTTAGCTGCGTTTACGCTTTGCCTGCCTTCGGTTCGTCTTTCCAGGGATGCTCAGGCGGGGCGGTGAGGGTGGGTGGGTGAAGGTGGAAGAAAGCAATCGGATTGAAATCGCTGATTTGGTCGATCCAATTATGTTTTTAGATAAATCGGGCGGTATAACACAAGAGAACAAGATTGAGATTCAAGTTACTCGAATGTAAAATTAATGAACTATGCTAATATTTCAGGGCCTGTTTGGCGGGAACGGTAGGCGGGTCGACTGTTCCGTTCACGGATGATTTTAGCTGGAGAAAGGGTTGTCTTGGCACCTTCAGAACGGAAGGAAAGGGTCGTTTGTATGGGGAAACGGAACGGAACGGGCGTGTCCAGACAGGCTCTCGGTTGTGGGCTCACTGGGCACTTGTGTTGATACATGTAACCTGTATACAATTCAACCAGAGCTATAGATATTGAACTCTGTGAGGAAGTATTTAAAGGTCTCACCATTGGAGCTTAATAAAACCACTAGTAAGAATAATAATTATCACAAACATGGATACGATTCTGTGGGTAGAAAATGATATAGTGTAGGGATAGTATATAAAGTTTCTGTTTTAACTTGTTAGGCAGATATCTTCATCTGTCTTCCAATCCAACAATTGGAAAACTATTGGAATAAGAATTATAGTAAGAGACAGGAATATCCCTGCCAGCCTTCTGGAGGTACTTACCCTCTTGATAAATAAGTAATAGTACTTGTAAATACTATAGCTCTACTTAACTATCTTTGATAGTTAAAGTACTAATATTGACTAGATTTGGAACAAGGTTCTCTTGTATACTACCTTTCTCCTCTGGTAAAAATAGGGGACTCAGACTCTTTTATATATCTGTTAATACTAAGATGTGGTACTTATTGGATCTACCTTATAGCTAGTACTTGCTTGTAGTTCGCTAACCTTAGTAGTAGCTGAATTGTAATTCTATACTGTATTGGTCAATCTTCTCTGATTTATAGGATTTTTTATAATAACTTTCATTCACAATCCTATATCACAATGACCTGACAGGGGTTCAATGGCATTGGAGTGTTGATTGCACCTATAGAGATCTGAGTGAGGACAGTTGTACCATGATAGGAAAGGGTAGTTAGCCGAGATTTTACATAAAGGAACCTTATGGAAACTAATGGAAGATTGCGGCTATGCAGGAGGGAGCAGTTAGAGATGTTGAGATTTGTCAGTAGAGGATTTTTCTTGGTTATATAAGGGGGTGTGCCCCTTTAAGCTTTACTTTCTTTACGCAACCTGGTAATTGCCAGTCAAGATCTGTACTTAGGAATTACAACTTGGTTTCTTTTTAGTATCACCGGAATCTGTGAACCCTAACCCTGATCCCTGAGACCCTGTTCTTGAACCCCTTGAGCATTGATACAAACACATCTTGTTTGTACCCTTGTCTCTTATCTCTTGTCCTGACTGCTGTGGTGTGCTTTAGACTATCTGCCCTTAACCCTACACGGACCCTGCCTATTACACAAGGTTACGTCTATGAGGATCCAACCTATACCACACTATGTCGCAATCCATCGAAATTTTCCACAAGCTCTTCCCTAATCAGAATCAGACTGGTAGTCTATCTAGTGAACAGTTAGGTAACCTGACTTACGACCAGAGATATAACTTTCATACCTGTATCTGAGATATCCTCCTTCAGACCATAAACCTGCTGGTACCCAGCAAGACCTCGGATGATGAAGGGTTATAACAACAACTACAAACTTTGGCAGGGGAACTTTGGACTCTCCACCATGAAGGCTAAGGCCTCGAGGCCCATCTTCCTATTACCAAATAGGACCTGGTAGGTGCTAACGCGATAGTTACCTTGCTCACCAATACTCTAGCCAATGCCCCTGCAGGTCCTGCTGTACCCCCTAGCCATAGCAAGAAAGCCTTCATCCCGAACCTGGAGAAGTTAGATAGTACTATAGACAAGTATTGTCCCTTCGCCACCCAACTCTGTATGAAACCCCATGGGGATTACTACCGGTTCAACAGTGAACAACACCATCTGGCATACACCATTGGCCTCCTAACAGAGTCTACCTTTCTGCACATACAATCTAATATCACCACCGAGTGGATCAACTACACCCACACTCAGGCACTATTGGCGGAACTAGAACAGGTATTTGGAGACTCCAACTATATGGCCACAGCAGAAAGAGGAATAAGGGATCTTACTTAGAAGAAGCACACATTCGTGGAATAGCTCACGGATTTCCCATGCTGGGCCAATGACATCAATTGAAAGGATGCTGCTAACTGGGATGCCCTATACCGAGGTCTTAGCTCAGGGCTAAAGGACTCACTGACCACCATTGCTGACCCTCCTGGGACTCTGACAGACTATACCAACTTGTTAAGAAGGTTGGGCAACAAAATGTGGGCCTGTGCAGCCAACAAGAAGGACTCTTTCCTCTCCTCGTAGTGCACCCTAGCAGCTACTACTGTTACGGGTATAGCCTCGGACCCTATAGACCTCTGTGTGGAATGACAAACCCAGACCAATGAGCAGGATGACAGGATGAGGAGAGAAGCATGTCTATGCTGTAGCCGTTATGGACATATGGCCAGACAGTGCCTGAACAAAAGACCCTGCTTATAACATGTTCGGGCCAGGCCCCAGTCACATAGTGGTACGATAGGAGCAGATGGCTTCTTGATCAACAAGAAGTGAGCGCTGCTAACTAAAGGAGTCTTCGAACGGGGTGTAATAGGAGATCAAAGAAGTAACTGTTCAACCAAGTATATTGAGAATACTGTCTGTCGAAGTCTGCTGTTTCCATTGCAGAAATCAGCGGTCTTTAAATACAGCATATCGCTTATCTCCAGTATGAGCGATATTCCAAAACCTTGTGTGGATCAACCGATAGCACATGTAACGTGTTCAGGCCAGGCCCTAGTCACGTAGCGGTACGATAGGAGCAGATGGCTGCGTGATCAACACAAAGCGAGCGCTGCTTGCTAAAGGAGGCTTCGGACGGGGTGTAATAGGAGATCAAGGAAGTAACCGTTCAACCAAGTATATTTAAGAATACTGTCTGTCGAAGTCTGCTGTTTCCATCGCGGGAATCAGCGGTCTTTAAATACAGCAT